GAAGAGCCTAACCCACTGCATTCTCCAGTGCACTCCCGCCCCCAGAGGCCTTCCTGCATTGCCACCCACGGCCCCTGACCCCACTGTGTTACAGAAGCAGGGCTGGTTCTGTCAAGCCCGGATGGTGATGGGAACCTGAGCCGCTGACTAGCTGCTCCTGAAAATCCTGGTTGCCTCCTCAGTGCCCCGAAACTATGGCGTCCCCCCACTGCCCTGACCACACGCAGGATAGAGATGGAGTTGGGCTGTCAAATCCAGGTGGAGGAGCCCGCCTGGGCAGGGCCAGCCCGGACGCCTCCTGGGACTCGGCCAGAAGCCCTGGACGCCATCCGCCCTCGTGACATGGGGCTGAGAGAGCGGGAGGGGTGACAGCAGGTGAGCCCTTCACAAGTGTTCTGTGGGGAGCCAGTCGGAGGGACACGGGGGGGCTCCTGGGAGGAACCAAGGGCAGTCTCCAGCAGGAGGCCCCCTTTATGGCTTTTCAGTGAATTCATACAGTGGGAGGAAGGGGCACACCGCACACATACGCGGGACACAGCAGACCCCGGGCTGGACACAGCGCACGGTACACTGAGGGTCGGCTCTGCAGACGGATGTGCAGCAAGCAGTGGGGGCCGGCCTTCGGGGCGCCAGTGGTCCTCCCACGTCCCCGAAGGCAGGGCTGGTGCCCGAGCCCGAAACCGACGCCCCCAGCCGCTGGCTCCCACTGGGGGCTTCCCAATGGGGTGAGACAGGGCGGGGCTTGGGGACAAAGACTTTACGTGACATAAAATCGAAGGAGCGGCCTCAACGAGTTGTGTAAAGTGGGGTCGAGGGCAGGGGTTAGGGGGACTCTCAGCATGGCCATGCGGCTATTTACAGAAAGTCAGAGACATGCATGTTGAGTAAACGAGACTCGGTTCATAGGTTTATAGATCACTATCTTCTTTTATATATAACTAAATGCACATGGAGGGGGTCATGAGGCTCAAATGGCTTCAGAAGGTTCTTGTTTTGTTGTCACTTAAAAAATAAAGTATATTCATGTGTCTTCAAGTCACAGTGTCCCCTTCTCAATATTGCAGCTCGAAAAGCAGGTTAAGTAAGATCCTTGGTGACCAGTCTCTGGCCCCCTGGGACTGAGGGGGAGAGGGGGTAAGTGGTCATAGCATAGGGGTGCCAGATAAAACACAGGATGGCCAGTTAAATTTGAATCTCAGATAAACTACAAATCACTTTTTGTATCGTATGTCCTAAATGTGCCTAAGACATACTTAGACTTTAAATTTATGTACTGTTTATCGAAATGCAAATCAAACTGGATATCTTGTATTTTTATTTGCCAAATCTGACAACCATGTTGTGGGACTCTGGGCCACCAAGACCAGGCCTTGGGACTCTTCCCTGCCTGCCACCAGCCAGAGCTCTGAGAAAGGGCGCCCAACCAGCCTCAGGTGGGAAGGGGGAGAGGAGTAGGGACAGAGTGGAGGGTTGGAGGGCAGGTCCTGGCTCAATCGCTTCCTACCTTTGTGTGGAAGGACAAAGGACAGCCTCTCTCTGTCTGTGGTTGGGTGAGACCAAGAATTAGCATACATTACAGGAACATGGAATCTCTCACTCCCAACCCCAGGGGAGGTTTCTCAACCTCCCTGCTCACCCACCACCACCCCACTGCCTGGAGCCTGGTTTTTCAGGGAGCTGGTTTTACCCACAGGAGGACTGCTACAACCTCTCTCTTCTCTCTCACTGGAGCCCTGGGCCAGCAAAATCATCCCGAACTGATTCTGCAGAACCGCAGCTGCAGAAACCGTATGGTTTCCTGGGAAGAAAAAAAGATCAGGCTCTGAGACTATGCTCTAAGCCCTGCTGTCCCATCCCCCAGCTGAGGGATCCCTGCGAAGGCTCTTCTCGTTCATGCCAAGCACCTGCTCACTCGCTCTCTGGGGCTGCCCGAGTGTTCTCTACCCTGCTTCCCCCAGGCCTCAGCTTCCGCTTCCAAAGTCCAAAAATCTGCATATGGCTCTGGCTGAGTTAGTTTCTCTTCTGGAATGATTATTCAAGGAGAAAGGAGAGGACTGAGCTTTCTGGCCTCACCCCAGTTCCAGATGGGATTGGGTTTGGGTCTGTATGGTCTCCGTCCATGTGGAAAAAATCACTTCTATCCTATTTTCCTGTCTGCAATAGACTTTGGGAGTGAGAACTCACAGTCGCAGAGGCCTCCAGAACCCCTCACTAGCCAGAACTCACTCTGTCCTACTTAGGGCATACACCCCAGCATCCTAACATCCCCAGAAATAAACCTGCATGAAAGTGAGGGTTCAGAACGATGCTCCGTGCTTTGGGTAACATCACCCCTCAGGTGTAGAAAACTTACAAGCATAAGTATGTTCACCTGCCTAGTTCATGGACCTGGATAGATGCCTTCACTAGGATGGCTCATCTGGGCCAAGTGCCCATCCGAGGACCAGCTGGAACCTAGGTGGGTGGGAGGGAAGAATTGTTGCCCACACTCAGTCTCTCAGCAATCTGTCCCCACCCCTCAAGGCTGCTCACTAGAGGTGGCCCAGAGTAACAAAATCCAGCCCCTGTCTTCTGGCACATGGACACCCAAACCACCAGAGGTGCCCACCATTTCCTTTCCCCCCCATCAGGAGAGTGGCAAATCTTGGGCTCTGGAAGGGCTGAATGAGGTTCATGGGCAGAGAAGAATCTCACGTAGTAGAAAGTACATTGGGAAAGGGCAAAAGAATGAAGGTAAGGAAGATGAGATTGACAGGGAGGTCCTATGAACAAGGGTTGTGGGATATGGTGGGGAGAGAGACCCTGAGAAAGCACCAAAATCCCACAGTTCTGGGGATGGGAGAAGAGTCCAGTGACTTATGATGTCCATATCAGGACATCCTACGCTGCAGTCAGCCAGATTCTGAAGGCACCCTATTTTCCTACAACTCTCTACCATGACCACAACTCCGGTCCCAAGGACCAAAGCTCACAGTCCTTGTCAGAGTCCTACCTTCTCATCATTAAGTACACACCCACACTCACACAGGGTCCAGGAAAATACAACCTCCCATGTACCAAGGGCCACTAGCATCTCTGAGAGATGAACAAGGCTGAAACCCGCTTCCCAGTCTGGTTCTGGTGGAGGTGTTCCCTCATCCCCTACTCTAACCAAAAAACATGGCACAGCAGAAACAAAAAACCCATCTTTCTTTTAACAAAATAAAAAGACACTCCACACCTCCTTCATGTGGATCCTCAAAGCCTGATTTTCTCTAACACTGTCCATCTATCTCAGGTACCTACAGGAAGCTGAGGTGGCCCAGATGGGGCACGACAGGAATTTTTGCTGGGACAGAGATCCCCAAGGTTCTGAGGAAGCTATGAGTATTCTGTGGTGAAGAAATGGCAGGGGCCTCAGGGCTTCATTGATGGAAGAGAGAGGCTGAAGGAAGGGAGGCAAGGATGGGAGGAAGGGGCGGAAGGAAGTGGTGCCGGCCTCAGGCCATGTGGGGCCTAACTCTCTTGCCCAGGCTGAATGTTTGGAAGGAGGCTCAGTGCAAGCTTGACTAACATATATATGGCTTTTTATCAGTGCTGGGGACAAAAGCTGAAGAGGGAATGGGACACAACTGAGCGTGGGGGTAGAAACCCCAGCAGGTGTCCTCACCACCCATTTGGAATGGGTATCCTGCTTCTTGGCATTCAGAGAGAGAAGCCTCCCTAAGAAATGGTAGGATGGGGCCTCCCCACAGGTCTCCCTGGGCCACACCAGCTACCCATAAGCTGTCTGGCATGGAAGGCAGAGGAGTGGGAGCTGGGGGGAATCTCGGCACCCCCACCTATCTCATCCGGGAAATCTCTGCCACCTGTCCGCCATGCTCCCCTTCTTACCTGGACCTCAGGGGAATTAAGAATATTTAAACCTTCTTTTAGAGTTCTCTGGCTCTGTACAGAATACAGTCTTCAGATAGCGTTGCTCTGTTCAGATTAAAAGAGAAAACAGAAGCAAAAGCATGATGGGGAATTAATGCAAATGAACCGCACAGCTTATATTCTGGAAAGGGAGAAAGCATCCGTGTTTCCCAGTGGAAGGGAGTGAAGAAGATCCAAGAGTTTCATTTGGTCTTTCTAGGTAATGGGTCTTGTTTCTTCATAGTTTGATGTTAACTGTCATCAACATATGAGGTCCCAGGAGTGATGGTCCCTGTTAGAGCCTGACCAATCTTGTGAATAGTTCATGTCCATGAATGTCCCAGAAACCACACTTGTGGGAAAACTATGCCTGACAGGAGGAAGTCTATGATGGCATCGGGGATTTGGTCCTAGTTCTGGACAAATCCAGTCTCCACATCTTGCCTCCCAAATAGCCACCCACAAGGAGTACGGGAGCTTCTGGCTTCTGACCAGGATTCTGAGCCCTCTCCACGAGCTGACAGAAGATCTCCCACTTAGACAGTGGATGTCTCTTCATTTCAGGGTCCCTGAAGAGCTCTCTCTTCCCACACAACTTTACTGTCCATGGCTCATTCCAGGAATGCAGAGAGATGCTTACACGCATGCGCGTGCGCACACACACACACACACACACACACACACACACACACATCATAGGCCACTGTGTTGCCTTTCCTGTCAGGAAACAGGATGTGCTGCCATTTTGTTGGTCCAGAACACTCAAAAAAACAGGAAGTGCTGCGACTTTCCGCCGGAAGAGGGCCTCACTCAGGGTGAGGCTTCAGTGAAGCTTTGAAGAAGTGAGAGGGAAACGTGACAGGGCATGCAGCAAGGACCGCTCCTGGGACGATGAAAAGAGCCAGACTTCTCCTTCCCCTGTTAGCGGACTCTCCTCACACAGCCATCAGAGGGAAGTTGCTCTTTAAAAAGAGAAAAGGAAGGAAAACCAGGGACACAGCCACAAACAAATGAAAAAGAAAACCTCTAAGGTCGCATAACTGAGGTATTGATAGCTCTGGATCTTGTCAGTGTCTGTCACGGCGCGGGGTCCCGGCCACTGCCGCCTACTTGTTCTTGCCCAGAAGTGCGTCCACCTCCTCCTCGGGCTTGAGCGAGTGCCACTGGGCGATGGGCCTCCGGGGGTTGGCCAGCATGTCGGACCAGTGCCGCAGCTCCGTGCCCGTGGCGTTGCTGCCCACAAAGATCTTGCCGATGGCTTCGTTCTTGCCCAGCTTGTCATAGTCCAGCACGGTGACCACCACCTGGACTTTCTGTGGGGAAACAAAGGAGGGAGGGGGTTGGCAGGTGAAAATGAGCAATCCCGGGACCGAACTTGTCCTTCTCCATCCTCTACTCCAAATGCCCGGCAAGGAGAGGCCTCCCTGGGCACCTTGCTTCCCTCTCTGGCTCCAACTAAGACTGAACTTACACGGAGGCAGAGACCACACCTGCTGGAAAGAGCCTTTGTTTCTACCGAGAGGCACCTACTGAGCGTGTGCCGTGCTCCGGCCCGCCCTTGAGGGTCTGGGGGTGGAGGACGGGGAGGAAGATGTGAACACTGCCTCTAACGAAAGCAGCAGACACGTACTCAGACACCTACAACCCCAAGTGACAGACACTGACAGGAAAGGCTTCACAAAGGAGGTGACACAGAAACTGGGAGGTAAGGGCTGAGGGCTTTTCTAGGCAGAGAGAGAAGAGGATCCCAGGAAGGAACAGTAGCCTGGGTCAAAGCGCAGAAACACAAGTGTGCACTTGGTGTCTGGGCAACGGACAAAGTTCAGAGCCACTGAGGTAGAGTGTGCGAAGCAACAAGGCGTAAATGGGGCCAGCAGCCCCCCACGAATGGGCTTTTATTCTTCAGCCGAGCTGCAGGGAGCTCCCAAAGACTTCTGAGAGGAGTGGCATGGAAATTTCAGGATGAGAACCCGGGCGCTGAGGTGGGAGATTCACTGGAGGGGGACTGGGCCTGGCTGCGGGGTCGCGGTGGGGCCGGGAGGGCAGGGGGGTCGTGAATGCCTGAACCAAGGCAGGGCAGTGGGAATGGAAGTAGGGGCCAGCCTGGAGAGGTGTTGAGGGGAGGGAATCAAGAGACCTTGGTGGTCAGTCGGACCGGCGGAGGGGACAGTCAGTACCTTCCTCTGGCCTGCCCCCCATCCCCTCCTCCACCAACTCAGGCTCATCCTTCAGGACCAAGCGTGCTCCAGCAAGCCTCAGCTGTGCTGTCCACCGTGCTCTGCGTTTGCTCACGCTGAAGGCCCATCTCCCTGCGTTTCGGTGGCCTGTTACTGCCGCCCCTCCCGACTGTGAGGCCCTCGGACAGCAAGGACTGTGTCTTCTACACGTGTGTTTCTCCAGCCCCTCACGAGTTCCCGGCACTTAGGGAGTGCTCAGCAAAGTATGTTGGATAAATGAGAAAGGAAAGAAAAAGGGCAGAGGGTCTGAGATGATGCCCTGGTCTCTCGCTGGAAAACAGAAGGCTGACAAAGCAGGTTTGGCTGGGAGCCATACGCGGAAGATCATTAAATTGGTTTTAGGCACGTCGAATTTGAAAGCCCTGGGCCAGTTCCCTTTATATCCACCTTAAGTGTTCCACAAGGACGACCCCTCTTGGTCTAACATTATCCCCGAGCTGCCCCTTGTCCCCTTGATGACTTCTCCATAGATGCTGACACCAGCTCTGACGATTCCCTTGGCACCCCTTCCTCCCAGCCCTAGGGAGGGGAGGGCGGGGGTGTGGGGAGAGGGAGAGAAGAGGGGGCAGTTCGGCCCAAAGAGGGAGAGACCAAGACTGCAAGAGGATCCAGCACTCTGCAAGCCCCTGACGGCTGGGTGGGTATCGGGTCCTGCCACGTTCAGATCCCACTCAAGGCCGCTCGTGGTGAAACACAGAGCTCACCTCCAACACTTACAGAGCTTGCTGGCAGGAGGAAGCAAGGAGAGAGAGAAAAAAGGGGAGGATGGAAGGAAAGAGGAGAGAGGAAGGGGGCGGAGGGGTGGCTGGGGGCAGACCTAGGGAGCAGCCGAGGTGGGGGAAGGATGAGCGAGGCGGGAAGAGGCTGGACCAGGACGAGCAGGAAGAGGAGAGTCTGCCCCCACCTCCTCGGCAGCTCCAACCTCACGGGGCGCACCGCACACGCGGCTGCCCCCCAGGCCTGAAGGAATGACTTGTTTTGAATAGCTCAGGTTCATCTCAGGGACGGGGAAGCTGTAGAAGGGGCCCCGGGGAGGAGGCCCCAGGATGGCCCAGTGAGAGCCAGAGCCCTCCCTGCCTGAGCGAGGCGGCTCGAGGTTTGGGGTGAGTTCCCTCGAGCCCCTACGAGGGCACACGTGCCGCCCCCACCCGCTTGTGCCTCTATGCCCGAAAACCCGAGCACCTGAATCTGCTCGAAGGGGATCTCAAAGCTGAAGGACTCGTTGAAGTAGGGGTTCAGGGTCTTCTTCTTCACCGTCGTCTTCTTCTTCTTGAGCCTCTTGCCATTCTGCATCAGGTGGATCTTCACGTAGGGGTCTGCGCAGGGAGAATCCCAGCCCCAGAGAGGCTCCCTTAGCCCCCCCACCCTCCCACCAAATGTACTTGCCTCCCAGAGCGCCCACCAGCCAAGACCAGGCGCCCAGCAAGCCCTGAGGCACAGGCTGCTTGAGTCCGAAAGAAGCGAAGTAAGTGTCTAGTTCAAGGGCAGCAAGAAAGTTGCACTTCCAAGACCACCGCGGACTGACTGGCTGTGGCTGCCTAGAGCATTACATGGGGGCTCTTCCTGAGACTAAGGAAGGCCTCATCCAGAAGGAGTAAGGGGGTCACTTGGTGCTATCTGTCCAGGCAGGGGACAGAGGAATGCTAAAGGCACCACACACATCTGCCATCCCTGATTCGGTCCAATCCTCCAGACCTTGCAGATGAGAAACTGAGGCCCACAGAAGGGAAACGACGTGTCCCCGGTCACACAGCTGGTCAGTGACAGAGCTGGGGCCAGCAGACCCCATGCTGCGGGTCAGCCCCGCTCCGAGTGCTCCCCACCCTGCAGTCCCCTTCCAAGGTAGAGCCAGCAGGGCCTCTCCTGGAGAAGTGTCCCGAATGGTCGGTGACACGACAGAGAGGCAAGCTCTGGGCTGCACCCCGTCCCCTTCCTACACTTCCCTGGGAGAAGTCACTAACTCATCTGGGAGATGAAGGTTCTCTGATCCTTTCCTCCATGGCCCATACTGCCCGGCAGCTCAGAGCGGGGACAGAGGACCCTCAGAGAAAGGAGGGAAAGCCAGGCGTCTCCTGCTCCATGGTGCTGCCCTCAGGACCCCCAGCTGCTCTGACATATCCTCTATGTCCCAGGGCAGGAAAGTGCGGCTCTAACGGGTGTGTGAACTGAGGGCTCAGGGAGGTGACTGGCTCGCTGGTGCCACCCAGTGGCAGCCAGAAGCCCTGCATGTACCTGAAAGGCCGCCTACGTCCATCTTCTTCAGGTTCTTGGCCTCCAGGATGCAGACGGTGAGCTTCCCGGCCGTGGGCACGTAGCGCAGGGAAGTGCAGATGTCGCCCAGCTTCTCTGGCTGTCCAGGGGGGAGAGCAGGACTCAGGGTCATCTCAGCCACCCCACCGCTTCCAACACGGCTCATGCCCCTCTTGCCAAGACTAGCAAGACAGTGGTGCCTCCCCAGCTCTCTGGGTCCCCAGTCCCCACGTCTGTGACGTTTGAGAAGGTCTGGGGGGGGGGCCTCCTGCTGCAGTTCAACAAAGCCCCCGAGAGGGGGACTGCAGGAACCACAGCCTCAGGAGTGAGTGGAGGGAGCGCAGGCTGCGGGCAGGAGTGTGTGCCTGATAGAAGGCGCGGGGCGTGGGGTGTGTCCGGGCTCCCACCCCAGGCCCAGGGGAGGGGGGAAGGAGTGGGTGTGGTGCACTGAAAAGGGCTCATTTCCAAGGACACAGCGAAACTGAGTGTCTCGGAGGTCTTCCTCCCTGACCCCTCCCGCCCTGGAGGTAGCTCCCAACAACCATTCCACTGGCACAGTGATCCGTGGCCCTCAAAGCACTTTGCGTCCCTTTTCCTGGGTTACTGTCCCCACAACGCTTTCACGTAGATAAGTGGAGGGTTCTCTGTGACCCCTGAGAGTTCCACAAAGCCCCGCAATTTCGCACTGGAGGCAGGATGAGAACCCAGGGCTGCTGAGTCCTGAGAGCTCTGCCAACATCACACCAGAGTCGAGCTTCTCGGAGACGGGGCCACTCGGGCCAATTCTGACCACCTCACCCATATCCCAGCTCAGGTGTGCTGGCCCTGCTCCCACACAGCGTGAGCTCCGAGGGAAGGAAGGGTGTGTTAAGTGTCTCTTCTCACCCCCTCCATTACCACCTGGTACTGTGCTGGACACACAGCAGGGGCTTGGCTGAGACAAAGGACCGATGCCTGGAAGGAGCAGTGGCTAAAATGGAGTATCTGGCACACAGTAGGTGCTCGGTAAGTGTTTGGTAAGTGATTGAATGCTGTAGCAGTTGCTGGGAGGACAAGCCCCCATACTGAGAAACTTTTAGAATAAATGTGGGCTTTCCCTGTGGGTAAACTGAGGCACAAAGTCATGAATCACTGGCCCTAAGTGACAGCAGGACCTTAGGAGTAAAATAATAATGGTGTTCTCCTTTACTTGAGCACCTCCTAGATGCCAAATGCCTACTGGATGCCGGGTGCATTACAGAGATAGGTAATTCTCACCTGCAAAAACAGACTACAGGAGAGAACCCAGGTCGAAAGAGATTCAGTGACGTACCCAGGGTCACACAGCTGAGGGTGTGGAGCTGGGATCCTAACCCGGCTCACTAACTCTAAAGCCCGCCCTCTCCCTGTCAGGCCAATAGGCGGTAACCCAGGTCGGCAGCCACATTCATCTTCCCCCTCTCACCTCCTCCTTCTCCCCGCCCTGCAGGTCTCTCCACTCCTCGATGGGCTGGCCTAGGTCCACGGTGTTCATAGGCACCTTTACCTCTCCAATGATGTCGTGTTTGGAGAAGCGGTCAAAGTCATAGATAGCCATCACCAGGGTTTTGCCTCCTAGCTCCTGGTATGGCACCTGCAGGGCACAAGCAGGATCAGAGAGGGGTCAAAGCAACTCACGCACCTCCAGGGGCTGCTGTGGGCAGGACCCTGGGTCTGAGCTCTGTTCCCGATAGCCCACAGGACTCTCAGTGAGTCTGTAGAGACAGAGAGAAGACTTCAGGGCCTGGGGGAGCAGAATGTGTTTGGGAAGGGGGGATGTCCCAGTCCTACAGGAGCCTGAGCAGTGACCTCACACATAAGCCCACAGTCCAACCTGCCATTGTTCCAGCCTGAGCTCATTTCAGGGCCTTAGCCATGGCTAAGGACCAAGGAAAGGTCTGCAGAACTCAAATGGAATTGGGATCAGGGAGGGAACTGGCATTATCCTTCCAGCCTGCATCACCTTGAAGGTGAAAGTTTCATTGAAGGCAGGGTTCAGGGTCTTCCGATGGACTTTGGTCTCGTATTTCTTCTTCTTGTCTGGAAGAAGGAAGACTTTGACATAAGGGTCTGAGGTGCCTCCCATGTCCAGGGCAGGCAATTCAGCAGCCTGCAGAACGCCCACGGTAAGCTGTGGAGACAACAAGGGGGCCCTGAGTCTCAGGACTCCTCCAACATCAGACCTGGCCCCGGACCCAGCATGCACCAACCCTTCCCCAGCGGCGGGCTGCTGGGGGTGGGGGTGGGGGGGTAGGAACAGGCTGGTGTTAGAGAAGAAGGCCGGTCTCCATCTCCAGCCCCAGGAATTTGGCATGATATCAGTGGAAGTGGAAACTGAGAGGGCAACTGATTTGCCCAAGGTTGGTGGGCAAGTTTACAGCACAGCCCATCTGAGCCAGGGAACCTTCTCTAGAGCACGCTGGTGGCCAAGGCAGAGTCAGGGTCTCGGGGTACATGCCTAGGGTTTCCAGCCCACCCCACTCCATGGAAGGGAGCGATGTCTATGGGCCGAGGTGGGGGTGAAGGGTGTGGGAGTGTGGAGTTGTTTCTATCCCCCTCCCACCCAGATCCCAGCCCTTTGCCCCATGCCCCACTTCACCCCTCAGCCCAGCCCTCATACCTGGTTGGCCTGGAAATCATAATCCAGGGAAAATTGCAGTTTGCCCAGATTCTCTGGCTCTTTCTCTTCCTCCCCTTCACCTTCTCCCTCAGTCAGGCCAGTCTCTGCATCATCATCGTCCTGTGGGGGCTGGGCAAGAGGAGGGGGTGAGTTAAAAGGAGAGAAAGGAGCCTAGCTGGCGCAGGGCCATCGGGAAGCCAGCCCCTCTGTGCCCACCCTGACTCGGAGCCGGGTGTGGGGTGAGGAGTAGGAATGTGGCACTGTCCTGGGGACTTGCTTCTGCCACAGCCCCTCAAAGCCCCCAGGCGGCCCCTCAGAACCCCAGCCTGTGTCCAGAAGACGCAGCTCTGGTTTGGGTGTGCCCCTCTCCTTGCAAGACACAGTCCTATGAGGCCAGGCACCACGCCAATGCTCTAGCGCTTCTTGAGGTAGGGGAGAGGTGCTTCCCTTGGTAGCCGCTCCCCAATACTTCCCCAGCTCAGGCCCCACCCACCCTGGGCAAGACTTACCAGGAGCACAGTCCAGGCATTCATGAGTATGGAGAGTCCACAGAGGTGAGAAGAGAAGGGAAAAGGTGATGTAAGAGAAAATCCTACAGCTCAGACCAGCCCCTGAAGTTACAGGCACCTGGTGAGACCAGGCTGAGCTACACCCAGATCATTCTTGGAGTCTTCCCTCCCGCCCCGACTTCATAGTGCAGGCTTCTTTCGGGGGCGTGCACACACACACACACACACATTCACACACATACAGGCATGTATACACATGCACACTCAAGCACTCGAAGGCTTTAATCTCTGGCTGACTTCTTGAGATCAGGCCCTTCCTCCCATCCTCCATATTGATTTCTTGAGCAAGAGATTTCTCCTAGTCACTCCCAGAACAAATGAACGAATGTGGGTAAAAGTGAAGTACCCCGGGGCCTTTGGAAAATTAAAAGGAGAAACTAGGGTTGACCAAAGGACATTTCCAGGCCAATCAAACCCCCAAAACAGGGGTAAATAAACCAAATGATTATGTGACTAGAGAGATGGATTCCACTTGGCCCTGTCTTGGTGCCTCAGGACCATTCTTTCACCTCATTTGATCCCGCACCCATCCCAAGCAGATGCCTCCAGCGAGATTTTGTCCTTTAGTCTCTTCTGGCAGGAAAACACAGGGTCACTCCAATGGCGGTTTCCTGGAGGGTTGGGGTTTCTCTTTCCAACATTTTGTCCCATAGCCTCTTTGGGGGTCAATATATTGTTCTCTTCCTCTGTCTTTTCAAGGATGAGTCCGTGCTAACACGTCAATAAGTCCCCCCTTCCCACCAGCTGATGGGTAGACATTTCACTAGAGATGTAGGCAATAGGCAGGGGGAGGGCGTGTGGAGTTCTAAGAAGAGGAGCTGTTTTGACTGTAGAGCCCAGAAGCCTTTGCTTCACCTTCCAGCATCTGGAATGGCTGGGCTGGGCCCTCTCTGATCCTCCCACCCCTGCATTGTCCTACCTGACCCCCTTTCATGTCCTTCATGTTCATGGCATTCTTCATGCCTTTGCCTTTCTCCTTCTTGTTCTTCTTCTTCTTACAGCAGCACTTCTTACAGATGCAGAAGCAGCAGGTGAGGAGCAGGAGGCCAGCGACCACAGCAATGGCGATCAGTGCCCAGGGTGGTACTGCCCACACAGAGAGGACCCCGAAGTCAGCAGTGCTCTGCTTTACAGCCCCTGACCCCATAGCATTGGCTAAAATGGGTGAGACTAGGAAGTCCAATGCCCACACTCCACCTTTTTAAACCACACACTCATGAGTGCTTGACGTGTAAGTTGCATATCCTTTTTGCGTGTCTTTTCATTAATACCTTGCTCTCTCCTTAGCCTACTGCCCTTGTGGCTATAGCCCCCTAACTGAGAGATAGCAGCCAGGTATATATAAGGAAGAACATCAGTTTGGCTCTGTTGAGTTTTGACCTCGTTTGATCTATGGAAAACTGGCTTATATTGGAGAGCATGGGATGGTCCTTATCTGACCCAGGTATAGGAAGAGCCCCTTCAACCCATTCCCCATGTCCAGTCTTGAGAGGGCTGACCCAGAGCCAGCAGGCCAAGCTCCTTAAGGACCTGGAAGGCTCAGCTTTGCGAAACTCGAATATTTGGGGATGGGCCCTGGGCTGCTCTCTGGGGTCCTGAAGCGCCCTCTCCCACTGGTGGGGGCTGCTCCCCTTAATCTCTGGTGACTCCTATCCAGCCTTTGCCAGGAATTCAGAAAGCAGTGAGGGAGGAGGGAAGGTATTTTCCGTCTTCCAAACTAAAGCAGTTTCAAAACGTGACTGGCAAACTTCAATAATGACTTCTGTTTCATGATTTTTCATCTTCCTCTGGTTTCAACTTTTGACAATTTTCTAAGCTGTAAGGACTTTTTTCCCCCCGGAAGACTGGGGCACATAAAACCCTTTCTTCCCTTTTAATTCCACTTGGCCCTTCTTGGTGCCTCAGGACCACAGACCACACTCTCCCCCATTCCTGAAGGGACTCCCCAAATAACCCATCCTGCAATCCAAATATGCAGCCAATCATGTCCCAGTGGTTCTCCCCACTCTTCCCCACCCTGCCCTGCCCACAAGGCCTTTTACTAACCCTAGCCTCACCCCGCCCTCTCAGCCACCCGGGACACTCACAGGGGATCTTCTGGATCTCGTTGAAGAATTTCTCCTTTATCTTGGCAAACATGTCCTCCTTATTCTCCCCAGCGCCCTCACTCTTGGTGGAGTTGTGTAAGAGCCCGGTTGCTACTGTGGCTGTGGTGGTGGTAGCAGCCACAATGGGCTCCTGGTTCCTCTTGAAGATGTTCCTCATGGTGGCAGAGGGGATCGCTGCAGATCAGAGGGAGCAGATGAACATCCCAGAGGTCTGAGTGCAGAAAGCTCTCCCCAGAAGAACGGGAAAAGTCTTTCAAAAGCTAAAAACTATTAATAGTAGTCCCTTTATAATGCAAAGATATTTCCCATAATATTAACAACTGCGGGAAAACAGCCACAGTAATGGTCAACAGCAAGTTAGGACATATATGAGTCAGGCGCTGTGCAAAGTACTCTCCATGCATGACCTCATTTAATCCAAACAATAGCCCAATGGTTTTTTTTTTAAGATTTTTATTTTATTTATTTATTTATTTGAGAGAGTGAGAGAGAACACAAGCCGGGGGGGAGGAGCAGAGGGAGAAGCAGACTCGATCCTGGGACTCCAGGATCATGACCCAACAGTCTAATGTTTGATTATTATTCCCATTTAACAGATGTGGAAATGGAGGTTCAGAGAGGTCAGGCAGTTTCCCCAAGGTCACTTAGCTGGTAAGTTCTGAAACTGATGTGTGAACCAGTCGGCCTGACTCCAAAACCTGTAAACCTAATCGCTTTCATATATATCTCATTTAAATCCAACCACACAACTCTAAGAAGGAGGCAAGGTTCTGCTTTCGAAGACTCCTTCTCGAGCCTTTCTCCTCCTTAACTTCTTCTGTGACCTCGTTCTGCCTAGATTCCTGCCTGTTCCTATCAAATTCCTGCTGTCATCATCCCTGCCCTCAATCTACATCAACATCTCTAGAAAACAGAGGGCAAGAGATTGAAAGAGAAGCTGCCCATAATTTTACCATGCAGAGATAACTCAGGTTCGCATACTGGAGCATTTTATAACAGTTTTTCAGAGTTTTTTTAACCTGCTGAGACCATACTACATGTAATTCGGCATTCTGCTTTTTTAATTTTTATTTATTTATTTTTTAAAAGATTTTATTTATTTGAGAGAGAGAATGAGATAGAGAGAGCATGAGAGGGGGGAGGGTCTGAGGGAGAAGCAGACTCACTGCTGAGCAGGGAGCCCGATGCGGGACTCGATCCCGGGACTCCTGGATCATGACCTGAGCCGAAGAGAGTCGCTTAACCAACTGAGCCACCCAGGCGCCCTCTGCTTTTTTTTTTTAAACATAGGATTTTATCATAAGCCTTTTCTCTCTCTTTTTAAAAAAGATTTATGGGGCGCCTGGGTGGCTCAGTCATTAGGCGTCTGCCTTCGGCTCAGGTCATGATCCCGGGGTCCTGGGATCAAGTCCCACATCGGGCTCCCTGCTCAGCAGGAAGCCTGCTTCTCCCTCTCCCACTCTCCCTGCTTGTGTTCCCTCTCTCGCCATGTCTCTCTGTCAAATAAATGAATAAAATCTTTAAAAAAAAAAAAAAGATTTATTTATTTATTTTAAAGAGAAAGACAGAGAGCATGGCAGAGGCGTGGCCTGCTCTGTTAAAAGCGGGGCTTTGGGAAGATAGCCCCACAGGCACTGGAGGAGGCGAGGCTGGGGCTGGGGGCCGGCGGACGGCCGGTTCCACGGGCCAGCCAGAGATGACATGGATCCAGACCAGAGTCGGAAAGTAGGGGATGGAGTGGAGAGGACAAATGTGAGGACCATTCATTCATTCATCACTCAACAAATTTACTGAACTCATATCATGCTCCCTTTGTGGAACTCACCATAAATTAAATTAAATAACTGTACATAAGTGAATATAAAATTGTAATTCTGAGAAATGCCACAAAGGAGAGATACTTGGTGGTATGAGTTTATAATGGGGTACATTTGACCTAATCTGGGAGAGAAAAAATGCTTTCCTGAGGAACCAACTGAGACCTGAGGAGAGTGGGAAGTATCCAAGTGAGGAGGAAAGGAGCAGCCTGAACAGAGAGAACAGCATGTGCAAAGGCCCAGAAGCAGGAAGCAGTGTGCTGAGTGCAGAACCTGAAGAAAGACCAGAGTGGAGGGAGCCTGGGTCCAGATGGCGCTGGCACAGCTGGCCAGGCCGGCCCAGGCGCAGAACCTCACAGGCCACAGCAAAGACTTCGTTTTTACCCAAGCCTAATGGGAAGCTGTCAGAGGGTTTTAAGGATGCAGGTCATGTGTACAAATTTACATTTTGAAAATTGCTCTTTGGCGGCAGTGAGTAAAAGCCTAGAATGCACCCTGACTCCAGAGGGAAAGGGAAAGAGTTTAAAACAGCCAATAATGGATGTCTTGTCATCCCCAGGTTCCCATGAAAGATTCTCCAGTGTTCTTGGGGAATCACCAGGGGAGAATGACAAACAGCTGCTTGGAGGGAACGTGGGGCTTGCTAATAAAGCCGTAGCACAGAGCAGTGGCTTTTCCAGGGCCTGGAGCCTGGAAGGCCCTTTTAAATCCACTTCTGACCAAAAAAACAAAAACAAAAACAAAAACCACGAGAACAAAGCTGCCCAGCTAAGCAAGGGGATAACGAAGATGCTCGAAAAGATGGCTCTTGATAGAAGGCAGGCGCAGGGTCATGCACCCAGAGATGGGTGGAGTAGATGCAGGGCCCACTTGCTCAGTTACACACCTAGAAAGTGCTGGGAGTCATCCTGAATTCCTCTGCTGCCATCACCGCCACGAGGCATCTGCAAACTCCTCAGCTCCACTCACGGTGTTTTCCAAATTCCGCCACTTTCCACCCCCCACCTGGAGTCCCACAGTAGCCACCTACCTGGAAGCTTTCCAGTCTCCTCTGCTCTGTCTAATCTCCACACTGCAGCCAGATCCATTTATTTTAAACCCTCCAATGGCCTCTCATCACACTTAGATAAAATCTCTGCTGGGCCTGGCCTCTGGCCCCTGGCTAGCTCCCCAGGGCATTTCCTACCTCTTCCGCTCTCACCCCCTCAGCTCCTGCCATATTGCAGACTGCAGGTCACAGGCTCACCAACCCAACTCACAGCTTCGCACTTACTTTCCCCCCAGCCTAGGCTGTTCTTCCTCCAGAAATCTCCTTGATCTCCCTGAGGCACCATCAGCCCCTCCTGTCTTCATTTCCCACCATGGTCCGTCATGCCAATAACTTTTTCCCTAATTCCCTACATCCCCTCCCTCTCTCTGCCTGGCTAAACACCACTCTTGGAGAGATCCCCTCGCCTGTTAGGGACTGAGAGTTTGTGTCCCCCCTCACTCACGTTGAGATCTAATGCTCAACGTCATGATGTTCGGCGGTGCTCAGGTGATCGGGTGGAGCCCTCAGGAACGGGGTTGGCACGGGAGAAGCAGATGCCAGAGCTAGCTGGCTCCTTCCGCCATGTGAGCAGCCAGACACCGGCAGTCTGTAGCCTGCAAGAGAGCTGTCACCGGAACCCAACCGTGCTGGCACCCCAATCTCAGACGTCCCAGCCTTCAGAGCTGTGAGAAAGACACTTCTGTCGTTGATAGGCCTCCTGGTTTATGGTATTGTGTTATAGCAGTCCGAGCGAAGACACCCACTATCGGCACTGTCCTCTCCACTGCCCCCCAGACCACTGAGCACTGTGGGCGAGCATCCTGCATGAAGGCAGCTGGGCGCCCCAGAGATTCTCAACACCAGCCGGCCCTTCAACCCTGCATGGAAATCTTCGGTACACTCCCCATCAACTCACTCTGCCTCCCTTCACAACGGACACTGCAAACCTTCTATTTCCACGGCCCTGGGGCTTACCCATGGCCCCAACACCTGGCCTGTTACTATTAGAAGTCACTGAAGAGAAATCTCTGATAATGCCCCACCAGAGGCCAAACCACCGACCTTCGTGCATATTGACCACCCTCTCCTCCTAACCTCCTGTTTCAGCTGAGTACATTCCTCCTATCTAAGGTCAGGCCCTCCATCTCAGAGGCGATCCCTCTGACCTTCGCAGGACACCTTCTTGATCCGTGTTCTTCCTTATGCCCAACGTTTCTTGGTCAACCAGTTTGTTCAGATCTAGTTGATTCACAGCCTACTGGGGACTGGTCACCAGGTCTCGGGATGCCTGCCTAATCCTACTTTCCTCTAGACATGCAACCTCTTCAGTGGTGGAGGATACACTTGTAAGAAAAATTATTTGTAGGCTCAGGAATTATTTTAGAATAGTGAATGTTTTCATTTGAGCCACCACCATATTTTTAAGAGTTGGCAGCTACTGAGTGATACAAAACGAATAAAATGTGCAAATAACATAAACAAACAAACAAAACAAAAATGGGAACAGGGAAAGGCTGGGCATAAGAAAAATTCCCTCTATGGGGCGCCTGGGTGGCTCAGTCTGTTAAGTGTTCGACTATTGATTTCTGCTCAGGTCATGATCTCGGGGTTGTGAGACTGAGCCCCATGGCAGGCCCTGCTGGAGATTCTCTCCCTCTGCCTCACCCCCTGCTCACTTGCTCTCTCTCTCTCTCAAATCATAAATGAATAAATCTTAAAAAAAAAAAAAAGAAAGAAAGGTTCCCTCTGCTGGATTTTTCCATTTTAAAATACCACCAACCAAACAATGAAAACCCTCCCCACCCCCCTCCTTGTTCAGCTGCCTCAGTCTCCCCCTCCCTTCAGGGCCATGCCCCACCGCATGGTCTCTGTTTCCTCACCCCTCTCCCTTCAGCGTCCCCTCCGTGGCTTCTGCCCCATCACTCCACTGATGTGGCTCTCTGCATAGTCACAGGTGACTGCAAGGTTGCTGAGCCCAGCAGAACCTTTCATTTGGTCGTACTTGACCTCCCTCGTGTTCACCCCGACCACTCCCTGATTTTCATCATAATTCAGACTCCATCCGTTGCCTCAAGGTTTGCCCTCAAGACTTCTCGTCCCAGGCCAAGTGCCTCCAGGTGACCTCTAGCACACCCTGGCCTCAGCCACATCCCCATTCCGATGACTGTCAGAACCCACCTTACTTCTGAACTCCGAGACCCAGAGGTCCAGCTGGGCCCTTGACAAACCCCCTCCGTCCCCTGTATTTCCTCTCGCTCACCTCCAATCAGTTCTGCAGGTGCCACCGTAGCAATCTTCATAAAACATGAA